GCGCTTCCACCGCCGCTAAGCTTGGCTAATTGGGAGCAATTTATCACACGGTCGGTCTTGCCCGAGACACGCGTTTTGCAGGGTTCGTACTCCACCCCCTCCTTCCTCTCTCCCATTCACCTTCTTCCCTTCTTCACACACACACATTCTTCACGACAGTTGCTGTGTCCAATTGTTTTGTTTTTGTTAAAAAGAAATCTTAGGGTCTAAAATTTCCTTGACAAGTACGACTCGACATTGTCATTTCGGTTGGTCTCTTTTCCTCCCGACCAGTCTAGTACTGTTTTCAAAATATGAGATTGGAGATTAAAGAATCAGCATGTGTTTAGAAAATAATATATGAAGCCGTTTATAAACTTTAAAACTTGAAAAATAAAAAAAGGATTATTTTTCAACAATGTACTTGTTTTTACACAAAACTGTGCTGTGTGTGCTCCGTCTGTTTATTCAGACTGTGATAAAGGGTCGTTTGACGTTCATTGAGCCAAGTGGCATGTTCCTTAATAACATCGCTAAAAAGCAAGAGGCTATTAGTATTTACCAGGTAAATAAAGCAGCCAGCAAAGGAGAGAAGACGGGCTGCCGGCGAGTAAAATGCACCCGAGGGGGCAGGCTCGCCTGCGCCGCGCAGGCGGAGGGTCAGCCCGATCCGTTCCAGCGGACCGGAGTCCAGTCCAGCCTCAGCGCCGGCCGGGCCGGGCCGAGCGGGGGCGCACTTTTAATTGGAAGTGTTGAGATTGGGCTGGAGGGACGGGGCTGGGCGGGAGGCTGAGCGGGCCTGCGGCGAGGTCCAGCCAGCTGATTGCGTGGGAGAGAGGGAGGGAGAGGAACGGGAAGGGGAACTGAGAGGTGGTCAAAGACAGAATCCTACGTGCAGAGGTGAGGTCGTGACTGTTACAGTGTTACAGAACGACTGGGCCATATGATGCATAGAAAAGGTCGAAAAGAAGGTGGGAAAAGAGCAGAATACAAAATGAAGAGTGATGTGTTTCACAATTCAGCAAAACTGTTTGACGCGGTTTTAGTGAAACACATAAACAATTTGTTTCCCCAGAAGAAATAGTTTTGCTGCTATTTTTTTAAATTTGCTTAAAGCTCCAAAGTGAGTTGGCCACGTACGCACGGGCCGTAAAATTGTGCAACAGCAATCAACACTCTGAAACAAGTTCTCCCGTTTAAAACAGAACGTTGTATTTTGCGCGTGTAGCATTGCATTACACCTGAAAGACACAAGGGCGGCGGGGAGAGCAGTCTATTCGGCTTCTTTAATTTATCCCTTCCACTCTCACGGCCCCAC